TATAATTATCGGATAAAATTTTAACTATTCAATCAATTTTATTAAAATAATATATTTAAACAATCACTTAAGATAATATCTTGCGCTTAAAACGTACAATTATCCCTGAATTATAGGGAATATATTCTCTCCGACAATATAATTATCGGATAAAATTTTAACTATTCAATCAATTTTATTAAAATAATATATTTAGACAATCACTTAAGATAATATCTTGCGCTTAAAACGTACACTTATCCCCGAATTATAGGGAATATATTCTCTCCCACAATATAATTATTGCGACTTTTTGGAAAGAAACCTTCGAAGCGGGCTTTTATATATTCAAAGCGGGCTTCGAAGCGGGTTTTTGAACTACAGTACGGCCGTACTGAATTCAATACGGCCGTACTGAAGTTCAAAAACTTCAGTACGGCCGTATTGATTTCATTATGGCCGTATTGTAGTTCAAATGGCTCAGTACGGCCGTACTGAACCTCTAGGAGGGCGTATTGAGCTCCAATCCTCACACACCCTTATTCTAAGCTACTCTAAGACTTCTAGACCTACAAAGAATCATCCTAGGGTCTTCCAGGAGTCCTTCCGGCTGACTTTCCTTCGGTCGTCGAGAGTCTTTGAGTCTTATTTCCGACCCGGACAATTTGAGGGGTCTACAGAGGGAGGTGGTGGTTAGGGGAGAAAGGGCAGGAGAGTGCAGCAACGCAAGGAGGGGAGAAAAAGAAGAGAGAATTGGGATTGGGAGAGAAACAAGCAGAGTAGTGAGTGTAAAGTTGGAATTAAGGAGAGAGAAAGAGAGAATCACCTTTTCTTCTTTTCTCTATTTCTTCTTGCTCTACTCTTCAACTTAGATACGCAAAGAGGCAAAAAGGGGGTGAGAAGAATAGTTAGGGCTCAAAAATATTAGAAGAGGGAAACAGAGTTAAAAATATAAGGAAAGGATAAAGAAATAATATAATTAAGACCTCCATAGAAAAGAATTAAAACCCCAACTATTATCATCATTTTAGACAATATGTGAGGACATGGTAAATCATTTTAATTTGTGGGGTTTTTTATAACCTCTGCAAAATAACCCCCACTAAATAACACTTTTTTTGTAGGTTGTACCCATGATATTGCCTGAATAATCCTATTGACATATTAATGAGTAGTAATGTGTAAGGAATTATCTAAAATGATGTATTTTAATGTGTAAATATTAACGATGTCATTGGTTAAATTACAATAAGATGGAGGTATTAAAATGATTAATAGTAATGGATAATACTAAGATGTGAGATGACATTTAAGGTTCGACGACGATGTTTTTATGATTAAGATATTATGATAATGATGTTATAATGATAAATGTTATAGTATGTGATGTTAATGCATAATAATAATGATGTGCATATGAGAAGGAATTGATGTCTGAGAATTATATTGATGTGTGAGAATTATGTGTTCTATAGTATGTGTGTTAATGTTATTTTGTACACTTGATGATGATGAGGAGATTGGTACAATATACATATAGAGTTAGGATTATACATCTCATGAGTCTTAGTTAATGAAAATGTTATGTTTTTGGTTGATAGATATTCTATTATAATTAAAATTTAGAGTTTAAAATCAAAATAGAAAACTAATTGAGGGACAACTAATGTATATCTATGTACATCAACATATACTCACGCAGATGTTTTAGTGAAGATAATCATATTAAAAAATTTTAAATATTTTCCTACATCACATTTGAAGTATTCTAAATAACCAGTATGAAGACGAAGGAAAAAAAAAAGCAAAGATATGACTACTAGAGTTTTTATTTTTGATATCTTAGATTTCACATGAATAAGGAATATAAAATGTTTTAAGGTAGTGAACATGTAAAAAAGTATTGATAATTTAATTTTTGAATTATAAATTTATTTATTTAGTTATATTCTTGTAGACACCTAATTTCGTCTTGGACATACAAACAAGGAAATGGACATCAAGCATAAAGAAAAGGAGTTCTCAAAAGTTCAGAAATGACACGATATGACATCAGGAGGCCCAAAGCCCAATAAGGGTGAATTAGGAACTTGGAACATGTTGTTCCCAATCTGGAACGGACCGTTCCAAACTCCTAAAAAGGCCTAGAAACCCTAGGTCAAAACGAGTCATTCCCAATCCGGAATGGGCCATTTTGACACAGGTCGTTAATGGTAAAATTCAAATCCAGAACGGTCCGTTTCGATTCTGGAATGGGTCGTTCCAATTTTAAAATTTTGCCTTAATAAACTGACCTATAATGGGTCATTTCAAAATTGGAACGGGTCGTTCTGGTCAGGTTTGACGTCTATAAATAGCAAAGTCAGGCACTGCTCCTAAGGGATTAGAAAAATTCGTCTAGAGAGCCCTAAATAGCTCAAAAATTCTCTCTCTCTCTCTCTCTCTCTCTCTCTCTCTCTCTTTCTATCTTTTTGTATTTCTTGAGATTTGTGAGACATTCTATAGTGTGAAAGGTAGCCATAAAGCACCTAAAAGTTCCCATATTCGAAGATTCAACAAAGTTCGGTCAAGAGGTACTTCAGTCAACACTTTTTCTTTTCCTCTATTTCCCCATTTTAATCGATATTGTTCAAAATATAAAAAAATATTAATCATGTAGACGTTTTAGGGTAAATCGGGTAATTTAAATTTCATGCATGTAAATAACCTTCGATAAGGGGGATCTAATATTTAAACTATTAATTCTTATTACGCTAGATTCATCATAGGGTACCGATTTAGGATGCTGTAGGGATTTCCCTACACGTAATCGACCCCGAACGTAATTTTGGTTATTGTTCTTACCGGAGATCGGTCGTAGGGACGATCTGCTGGCAAGATCGGTGAGCCTCCTTCGCTGGGTACGATTGTTGTTCCAAGGCGGGGGTGGTACCTACAAAAGAGACTCCGATGCCAATTTTTGTTTTTGTGGATGTATGTGTCTCGTATAAGTAATGCACGTACCTTAGTGTGAATTAGGGTTTATTTGGGCTTTGGGCCCGAGATCAGTTGTGACCTGATTGGATAGTGGGTTGATGTCGCCTAGCACTTGTCCGAGGTCACTCCGCACTGTGATGCCGAGCTCGAGCTCGGCATAGCGGTACAGATAGTACACTAGCCCCCCGAGCTCCAAAGACCGAGGGTCGAGGAGTTAAGACCGAGCTTGGCAAGGGGCCGTGACCCTTCGCGTACGCCTGTCTGTCACGATGCCATGTGTCATAACCGTCACCTCGATCCCATAACGCATGGGCGGCGTGTTAATGGGAAGTGATGGTTATGCAATGATGGTTGTGCCCATCATAATGGGGCTCATTAAATGCGTCGTCAGTTATGTGCCCCAGCTGACACGTGTCGTGGCCATTTGAATTTTGGAAAACCCTTTTCTCTCTCTCGCGCCCTTTCCCCTATTCACTTTACTCTTTTTCGTTCTCTCTCTTCTTTGGATTCTTGTGCACGCCGATTTCTACACTTCTGCTTCCACCATCTCCGTTTTCGCTTTCTTTGTCTCTGTTCTTCTCCGTCGCCTTCTCCGGCAACTGAGTTCTCATCCTCTGTTATTGTTCTTTTGTTTTTCAAAGGAGTACCTGGTACTTCGATTTCCCTATTTTCTCCCTTCTCTCAAATCTTTTCATCTTCTTGATGGTTGGTAACAGTGATGTCGATCCTTCCGTGCCGGCCAAGGGTAAAGACAAGGCACGCAGCAAGGCGATGGCCACCGAGACGGCCGCCGCCGAAAAGAAAAAGGGGGGGAACCAACCTAAGGAACCCTTCCCCGTCATCCCTGGCTACGAATGGGTCAGGGGTGACGTAGGGGAATTCCAGAGCGTCTTCAAGTCGTTCATGGAGATTAATGCGATGTGAAAATCGCATAGGATCTGTGAACCATCCATTTCTAAGCTTATCCGGCTTGAAACTTTTCAGCCCGGTGAACGTGTATATATGGGGGATACCTCTAACCCTCCCTTCTTTTACATGTACCAGTGTTTCTTCAGCGATTTAGGCGTATGCCTTCCCTTTACCCAATTTGAGTGTGATTTTTTGAATTTTTTCAACTCGGCTCCTTGCTAGTTGCACCCCAATAGTTGGGGTTTCTTGAGGGCTTTCTAGGTCCTGTGCTCGACCCTAGGGATAGGGGTATCTCTCCCTGTTTTTCTTCATTTCTACCAACTGAAACTGGGTGTACCTCCCTATGGTTTGGTGTCTTTGAACGGTAGTAAGGCTGGGGGACTATTTTCTCTCTAGTCCCAGTCTTACAAGAATTTCAAACAAGAGTTCTTCCGGGTTCTGCTAAAGGAGGTCGACCTGTTGAAAGATGAGGTGTTCCACTTTGGCGGGTTGCCAAGGTTCCCTCTTTATTGGCAACAGGCTCCGGCCAGGTTTAACGGGTCGACCAACTTGCAATTGACGACCTCGGACATTGCTGCCATTAGAGACCTAGAAGCGTTTCCTCGTCCCTTGGATTGCAAGCTTGTCTTATCACTTGCTAACTCGGCGTACAAGAAAAGGGGTCTAGAGAGTGAGTATCTCGTCTTTTTTGGTTGTCAAGGTTCGTAAAATTTTCTTTTACTGATGTACTGAGCTGATGTACTGAGCTTTTGTTCTTGCAAGCATAATGGGGAGGAGAAAATGGCGCGAGTTAAAGTATCGCTACAATGTTGTCGAGATCGAGATCCCTGAGCCTCAAGAGGAGGAGATTGCCCCCCTGGAGACCCGCAGAAAAAGAAAAAGGGGGGAGAAGGAGGTCGGGGGAACCACTACCCCTCGAGATGCGGAAAAGGTGACCTTGAAGGCTGCTGACACCGACGCAGTCGACCTCACTAGGAGTCCTCCACCTGAGGGAGTTTCCCAAGTGGCCGCTGAGGAGGTTGCCCACGCCGCCGAGGTTTGTACCTTTCCTCTACAGTGTCTATCTTCTTGTTTTGTGACTTAGGAGAAAATTTTTGTTTTTTGTAGGCGGGGCCTGAGCCAAATGTTGCCAAGGCCTAGGTGGTGCCGAGCTCGGAGGTGCCAGAGGTGAATGCCCCAATTGTTGTGCAGGTGGCGCCTACTTTCTGAATCTCTGTCTTGTTGAATATGTTTTTGGTTCCAAGAACATACCATATTGGGTTTGTGAGAACTTTCCCAAAGAAGTTCTCATTTGAGTACCTTAGAATGCAATAATCATACCACACCATAGCAGATACACTATTGGGGCAGAGCCGAGGGGCTTCTCTGGCAGCATTAGAAACACAAAATTGACAAAAGTATCCAACCACGTCACCACGGCAATCATAGAGGCCATACACAGAGGAGGTGATGCCTATGCTTCTGTAGTTATAAACTTTGCCTTTGTATGCATCAGAGGATACCCATGTAAGGATTCTCTCAAGATTAGTTTGGTATGCACTGCTGAGAGGTTGTTGTTGTTGGCTGGTGTTTTGGCAATTACTTCCCAATAAATTTGGTACTTGTGCCTCTGTAAAGAGTGCTCTGAAACTCAGCAATAACCAGAAAGTAAAGGATATTGATCTCATGTTTAGTTGTGTTCCCATGATGAAGTACTTGCTTAAATTACTCTTCTTGCAGATTGATTATACGTGTATATCCTGTCCAGATAATGTCATTATGGTAAGTCAAGGTTGTCACATTTATAAGTCATTAAATTCAGTCTCCAATACGTCAGTCAGCGTAAATGAAAGACAAATGTAAATATAATTTTATGAATGGTTTCCTTTTTCAATAGATATTATTTTTTTATTACAACTAATTGGATGGAGCCACTATATTTGTTTAAAGATATTTAACAACTATTGATATTTGTTAAATTAACTAGTGTTATGCCTAATTTTTTAATTTCAAGATCACTTATTTGAATCTTGGACTTGTAAGGATAGTTAATTTTTAATATTATTTTTTATTTTTATTTTTAAATTTTAAAGGTAAAACAATCCAAAAACTATGTAAATTAAAATAGAGAATTGCTTTTATACATAAATATAGATATGACAGAAGATTGTAATAAAAAAATGTTTAAATATCTTTTTAGTTTTTATATTTTTACTCTATCTTTTATTTTTTATAATTTAAAATAAATATTTTTAGTCGCCATATTTATTTTTCTCGGTCAATTTCAGTTTTTATAGTTTAAAATAGATCTTTTTAATCTTTATACTTGTATTTTTTTTAATCATTTTAATTCTTATTGTTATTTTTTTATAACATTATATTTTTATTAGCGTGACAGAGGTATTTATTCAACTTTGTATGTCTGATGTTAAATTTATTTTGTTGAAATTACTTTAATTAAATTTCTCGACATTTCATGTCTCGTTTATACCTTGTTCATTGTTAAGAAGTCATTTTTTACTTTCACATAATCGAACACATTTATTATATTAATACAAAATAAATAATTTAAAAAAAATAACAATTGTGATTTGAAGGATTAAAAAAATAATTATAAAAACTAAGATTTATTTTAAATTATAAAAGGTAGAAATGGTATTACTTGAGCGTCATTTGGTAGACAAGAAAAAGGAGGGAACTGTGGAGAAAAGGACGAAAGTTACTGGAAACTGGAAAGGTGGACTTTGAATAGGTCGCGTTCTTATCCTTCAATATTCCTTGATGGTGCTCACATAGGTAGTGCTGGCCAAAATTAATTGAATTAAACTAGACTATTAAATAATTGAATTATTTTAAATTAAAAAAACTATAACTATTTAAATTAAAATTGAATTAAACTATTTTTTAGTTCAGTTTTTAAAAACTGAACTTATTAAGTTACAGTTCACTTTACTTTAATTAACTAAAAATATAAAATAAAAGTTGTAAATGCAGAAATGTGGGTCTTCACATTTCAGCCACAGCCAAGGTTTCTAAATCATAAATCGCAAGCCTCTTCACATTCCAGCAAGCCACGGGCCCACGGCACGGGGTTCCTTATTCAGCAGAATCATCACTCCTTCCTCACTCACAGGCAACCATGTATTCCTCCTTCCTCACGCACCAAGTCACCAATCACAGATTCTTTTTTCTTAGATAAAAAATAGTTCAGTTCAGTTTTGTGATCTAATTTTCAGTTCAGTTTAATTGAACTATTTTTCAGTTTAATATAGTTTTTAACAGTTCAGTTTAGTGCAATTTAATTTGCCCACCCTACACATAGGACTCTCCTTAAGCAAGAGAATGGCTCGAATGGCTATCGAGCCCTCTTTCAACTCTCGCGTTGGTGAGAACATTGTTTGCTTAAGTGAACATACAAACATTGCTTTTCGGGAACTAAAGACCTTACTGAATTTACAACAAAA